AAATATTGTTCACTCTTTGTACCTGCCGTTGTCCCCGAGGGGTTAAAATGGGGGTGCGGTGGGGTGTGGATGCTGGGAACCCCCCACATCCCTGCCAAAAGGGGGGGGGGTGTGCTGTATGGATTGGAATGCTTCCCCACAGAGCGTTCCCAAACAGGGAGGAAGTGATGCTGGGAACTGGTACCCACATTGGTACCCAAAGGGACCCCTGGCATCACCCAGCTAAGGGCTGGTGTCGTGTGTTCCCCTCCCCCGCCCCCCCAAAACAAAGGTGCAAAGGGGGTGCCCAGGGTCATTATCCCATGGGTTACAGCTGGGAAATGGGAATTTGCTGTGAAAGGAGGGAGGAGAGAGCTGGGAATGAATCAGGTGGTAGCACAGGGGGGTGGGAAGGGGATGGGATGGAGGTGACCCTGGCAGTGTGGTGGGGACATGGGACATCATGTGTGGGCGCATGGAGCGCTCTGGGTGATGGAGATAGCGTATTGGGTGTCCTGGGTGCTGGTGATGAGGCCATGGGGTGCTCTGAGTGCTGATAGTGGAGATACTGGGTGCTCTGGGTGCTGGCAGCTGGGACATGGGGAGCTCTGGGTGCTGGGGATATTGTGCATTCTGGATGCTGGTGATGGGGACATGGGGTGCCCTGGTGACAGGGACATGGTGTGCTCTGAGTACTGGTGGTGGAGATATTGGGTGCTCTTGGTGATGGGGATATGGGGTGCTCTGGGTGCTGGCAGCTGGGACATGGGGTACTCTGGGTGCTGGGGATGGGGATACTGGGTATGGATGCTGGTAATGGGGACATGGGGTGCCCTGGTGACAGGGACATGGTGTGCTCTGAGTACTGGTGGTGGAGATATTGGGTGCTCTTGGTGATGGGGATATGGGGTGCTCTGGGTGCTGGGGATATTGTGCATTCTGGATGCTGGTGATGGGGACATGGGGTGCTCTGAATACTGGTAGTGGAGGTATTTAGTGCTCTGGGTGCTGGGGATATCGGGTGCTTTTGGTGCTGGTGGTGGGGACATGGGGTGCTCTGGGTAATAGCAGTGGGGACATGGGATGTTCTGGGTGCTGGTGATGTGGACATTGCGGTGCTCTAGGTGATGCAGATGGAGATGTGGGGTGCTCTGGGTGCTGTGATGGGGAATCTGGGACCTGCAGGTGCCAGCAGCAGAGCCATGGGATGCTTGGGTGCCAGTGGTGGGTCCATGGGGACTCCTGGCTGTGCGGGGACACGGGGACACCCAGGTGCTGGCAGTGGGGACATGGGGACCCCAGAGTGTGCAGGGACACAGGGGCCCCTGAGTGCCAGTGTCAGGGATATTGGGTGCCCTGGGTGCTGGTAGCAGGGACAGGGGTGTCCCTGAGGGTGGCATCGCTGTAAGGAGGCTGCAGTGTGAGCAGGGAGGCTCCAGTGCAATGGGATGCAGTGGGATGCGAATGGGATGCTTGGGATGTGGTGGGATGCAATGGGTGTGGTGGGATGCAGTGGGACACTGTGGAATGTGACGGGATGCAGTGGGATCCAGCAGGATGTAGTTGGATGAAAAGGGATGTGTTTGGATGCAACTGGATCCAGTGGGTTGTAGTGGGATTCAATGTATGCAGTGAGATGCAGCTGGATGCAGCGGGATGCAGTGGGATGTGATGGGATGCAATGGAATGCAGTGGGATACAATAGGATGTAATAGGATGCAATGGGATGCAATGTAATGCAGTGGGATGCAGTGGATTCAGTGGGATGCGTGGGGATGTGATGGGATTCAATGGGATGCAGTGGGATGCTACTGGATGTGGTGGGATGCAATGGGATGCAGTGGGATGCTACTGAACGTGGTTGGATGCAGTGCTATGTGATGGAATGCCATGGGTCTCGTGGGATGCGATGGGATACAGTGAATGCAATCCAATGCAGTGAGATGTAGTGGGATGCGATAGGATGCATTGCATGTGACGGGATGTGTTGGGATGTGTTGGGATGCAATGGGATGCAATGGGATTCAAAGGGATGCTATGGAATGCAGTGGGAAGGCAGTGGGATGCGATTGTATGTGGTGGAATGCAGTGGAATGCCATGGATGCACTGGGATTCAAAGGGATGCAGTGAGATGTAGTTGGATCAGCGGGATGCAATGGGACATGATGGGATGCAATAGGATGTAGTGGGATGTGATGGGATGCAATAGGATGTAGTGGGAGGTGACAGGATGCAATGGGATGTGATGGGATGCAGTGGGATGCAATGGGAGGGTCATCATCAGCTCCTACCACTCCCCAGCCCCTCTCCATACCCCACGGCTCCACAGTGGCACCAAAGGGGTCCCTTGTCCCAGTGTCACTGTGCGGCCACCCTGGTGCCAGGGGCTCCATGACACATCCCGACCCAGCATTCCCAGTCATTATCCCTATTGCTTCAGCTCCGTGAGGTGCTGGTTGGTGCTGGTGAGTTTGGGATGCTTCCGGACAAGGGACGTTCACACTCCAACGAAACACCCAGGAATATCAAGCGTGAGTCACCAGAACGCAACCAAAAATCCCCACTGAATTCCAGGCCTAAGGAATTCCAGTGGCTATCCGGTAACCCAAAAGGACCAGGAAGCTCAAGCTGGGATTGGTGCAGCAGTTGCAACCACAGAGGGTTGCCAGGGTGCCAAGAGGTGCACAGGGAAGGCAACGACCCCCCATTGCCAACCAGAGCTTGGGGGCACCTTGGCCAACATGGAGACCCTATGGCCAACATGGGGACCCCGAAACAGGAAGCCAAGAGATGACTACAGCAGCCACCAGTGCTCCAACACCATGGTGGGAGCTACGGCACCATCCCTGCTCCGGGTACCCGGCAAAGGAGGCACAGTACTCGGCAAAGGAAGGGGGTGTCTCTCCCACCCAATGCATCCCGGTGCCATCCTGTGCCATGCTCCACACTCCCACTGTCCCCATCCCCAGGAGGGGACAGAGGTGGCATGGCCGTAGGATGGACCCTTGGGTCATGGCAATGTGCTGGTGCCTGGATGCTCAGGGGATGCTCATGAGTTACTCAGGGGATGCTCAGGGGGTGTTAAGATGATGCTGAGGGGATGCTTAGGGGTTTCTATAGGGATGCTCAGGGTACCCTTAGGGAATGCTGTGGGGATCCTCGGGGGATGCTCCTCACCCATGGGCTGCATCCTGCCCCTGTCCCTCAGAGCAGCTCCTGCCTCTCCCAGCTCGGCACTGCGCGCTGGTGAAGCTGCTGACGCAGCAGCTGGAGCCTCTCACTAAACCATCACAGCAACACAGAGATGTGGGCTACAGGGCTGGAAAACCGGGAATCATCTGGGAATAACCCGCCTTGCGGGCCACTCGGTCCCCTAGAGTTACCCTCACATGCGGTGAAGTCGGGTCCAGCCCCACACATATGGGGTGGATAGACAGGGACGTTACCATGAGCCCCACAGTGAGGATTTGGTGACAGAGACCCATCCATGACCCTTAGGCTCCCACTGGAGCCCTGATCCCCATTCTGGGATGCTCCATGGGCTCCTGCATCCCTATGGATGTGTGTCTCACTCCAGTGGGTGCTGGGTACCAGTCTCCCACTCCAAGCACTCATTAAGCCCCATCATCACCCAGTTATAATGACGGTGTCGCCGAGCCCCTGGAATAAATCCGGTATTCTGGGTAATGGAGTGTACATCCTGACTGCAGAGGTCACCCAAGGGAAGGAGCACGGAATGATTCCCATTCGCTTCCCACCAGGAGCTCCCAGTGACAAGGTGGTGTCAGGCAGCCGGTGGCATCGAACTGTCCCGAGTGTCACACCCCAGGGTTTGCACAGGGATGGCACATGGGCTGCTCCAGATGCTGGTGATGGGGACGTGGATGGTGGCAGCTGGATGCTAGCAGTGGAGATGTGGGACATGGGAATGTGGATGCTGCAGCGTGGAATGGAATGGCATGGAACAAAATGGAATGGCATACATGGAACGGCACGGAATGAAATGGGACAGCATAGTGTGGGATGCCATGGCACAGAATGGCACTTCATGGCACAGCACAGTATAGCATGGTATGCAATGGAATGGCACGGCATGGCATGGCATGAAATAGAATGGCACAGAACTCCGTGGCATGGGATGGAATGGCTGCAGCACAGGCAGAGGGAATGGCTCTGGCTGCACTGCTGCTGCCTGCATATTGCTGCAGTGCTGCAGCACATGGGGACGGGGGGGCTGGAGGGGTCGGGGGGGGCTGCCCATAGGTTGGGGGGCTGCAGGGGGTCACAGGAGCTGGCAGGGGCCAGTGTGGGCAGTGGCGCACCCCCATCAGCCAGGGCACAGGGGACATTTGGGGACCATTTCCAACAGTTACAGCACTGACGGGGGTGCAGGCAGGGAGGCTGGGGGGGGGCTGGAGCCATGAGCCCCCCCAGCTCCCCATAGGGCAGCCCCATGGCAGTGCTGGTGCCAGAGATGGACGGATGGAGGGATGGATGGATGGGGGATGTCCCCATCACTCAGTTGCCATGGAAACCAAAGGGAATTCCCTTCTGGAGAGCCTCAGCACCAAATCCTAGGACATCCCCCCCCCCCCGCTGCAGGAAAGTAGCAGGGATGCAGATAGGGATATCATCCCCCTGCACCCCAAAACAGAGCTGCCACCCCCCTGTATACCCCAAAATACAGACCTACCACCCCCCTGCACCCCAAGACGAAGCTGACATCCCCTTACACCCCAGTACAGTGATACCACTCCCCATACCCCAGTACAGAACTGCCATCCCCCCAGCACCACAACATAGAGCTGTCACCCCCCTATTCAGCTGCCCCAGTCTCGGGGCTCTCGGCTGCTGCCCTGGAATCTGGGTTTCCTCCTGCCCTGTTAAGAGCCCAGCACCGTGTGTACCCACCCCGGCTCGGAGACAAGGGTCTGGGGAATGTCCCTAAGGACCACTTGGGTCTCAACCCCCTGCATGCGCTCCCCCAGCCCAGCTGCACCCCAAAACACGGAGCCAGCACTGAGCAGCTGCGGCTTTGTTCAAGTTCCAATCGCAATTCCATGTGCATTGGGGCCAGATGGGGACAAACAACTGAGGGGGATGATGTGGGAAGGAGGAAGGCATCCGGGAAGGAGGATGCCCGTGCCACGCTGTGCCATCCACGGCCGGTTTGCTGTCACCAAGGGGCTCAGGAGCCCCTGGGGATGGCCACGATGGCAGAGATGGGCAGGAGGAGGATGAGGATGTGCCAGGCTCTGGGAATCTCCAGGATGTGGTAAGGAAGTGCTGGGATGCGGGTCAGCACTTTGCAGCAACCGCCTGCATGTGCGAGATGCTGAGGAGGGAGGGATGGAGCTGCCACGTGCAGCGCTACGGCCCCGTGTCCTCGTGTCCCTGTGTCCCTGCAGCCACCAGCGAGCGGTGTTCTGGGAGGGTGAAGGATCCTACTGGTCCTGAAACCCCCCAGCAGCATTGCCCTGCAGCTGCAGCACATCTGCATCTGTGCCCACATCTGTATCTGCAACCACAGCTGCATCCGTGCCCACATCTGCATCTGTGCCCACAACTGCATCCGTGCCCACATCTGTATCTGCAACCACAGCTGCATCTGTGTTCACAACTGCATCCTCAGCACATCTGCATTTGCAGCCACATCTACATGTGTGCCCACAACTGCATCCATCCACAGCTGCATCTGCATCCCTGCCCAAATCTGTACCTGCAACCACATCTACATCCATGTCCACATCTGCATCTGCAACCAGGTCCCCATCTGGGGTGTCATTAGTTCCCATTCCACTGGCACACTGTCTCTGCCCTGGCTCCCCCATTCCCACTCCAGTTCCCCATTCCTTTTCCAGAGCCCCATTCCACCCGTTTCCCATTCCTGCTCCATGCATCTGCTGCACTTCTGCTGCACGATGCCCACATGTCCAGTGTGCACCTGCCCTGTGTTCACCCTGCATCTGCCCTGCATCCACTGTGTATCCTCTGAGCATCCACTGTGTATCTGCTGTGCAACCCCACACAGCCACTGTGCATGCCTCCTGCATCTGCACTGCATCCATTGTGCATCTGACCTGCATCCACTGTGTATCCTCTGAGCATCTGCCACCCATCCACCCCACATCCTCTGTGCATCTGTGACACATCCACTATGCATCTGCCCTGCATTCACTGTGCAACCACTGTGTATCTGCTGTGCATCCACCCTGCATCTGCCTTCCATTCACCATATGTCCACCATGCATCTGCTGTGCATCCTCTGTGCATTCACTGCACTTCGGCTGTGCAACCGCCACATGTCCAGTGTGCACCCACCCTGCCTCTGCCGTGCATCCTCTACCTATCTGCCGTGCAACCCCACATATCCACCCTGCATCCACCGCACATCTACCCTGCATCTAGTGAGCATTCATCCTGCATCTGCCCTGCACCCACCATGCATCTCCCCTGCAACCACTGTGCTTCTGCTGTACAACCACCACACCACACGTCTGCTGTGCATCTGCCCTGCATCCGCTGCACATCTGCTGTGCATCCACCCTACATCTGACCTGCACCCATCATGTATCCCCCATGCACCTACCATGGTTGCACCCCAACCCCTGGTAGACCCCCTGGGGTCCCTCCTCATCCTCAAGGCAGCCGCACGGCCTCCCCAGCTTCTGACTCCCCCATGTTGCATCCCTGTACCCGCAGCATCGCTCCATGTGGATGCGGCTGCAGGAGCAGGAGGTGTCTGGTGCCGCCCGGCCCAGCTCCCACTGCTGAGGTGGGGGTTCGGGATGGAGACGGGTCCCCAGTCAGTGCTCCCCAGTGCTCCCAGTGCTCCCCAGTGCCCTCAGTGTCCCCAGCGCTCATGGTGTGGGACAGCCCCAGCCCCACTGCATTCAGAGCAGAGCGTACGGCTCAGCCTTGGCAACAGAGAATGAGATAAAATAAACATGAACATAAAATAATAGTCATTAAATACATCAAACAGAATAGATCAAAAAATTAACGGAATTGAATGAAATAGGATAGAGAAGAACTGAATAAACCAGAGAAAGTGAATAGAATTAAGGAGAAAAAACCAACAGAATAAAATAGGAAAATTTAGAATGAAAAAAAAATATCTATTCTATTCAACACATAGGATAGAAAAGGAAATAAAACAGATTAGAAAAATAAAGTAAAAAAATTAGAAGATTCAATATACCAGACTATAATAGAAATAAAATAAATACATAGGACAGGGTAATAAAATAAAGATGGAATAAACCAGAATAGAACAAAATAAAAATAATAAAATCAAATTAACAAAAGAGAAGAAAATAGTAAAATAATATAGTTTTTAATTTAAAAAATGAATAGTGTAAAATATGATAGAACAGGAGTGAAATTTAAAAAAGATTAAAGTAAAAAGAATAAAATCAAGTAAAATAATAAAAAAGTGAAATAATAAAAAAATAAAGTAAAACAAAATAAAATAATAAAAATAAAATGGAAAAAAGGAATTAAATAAAATTAAATAAAATGAAATAGAATGAAAGAAAGTAAAATGAAATCAAAATAAATAAATCAAACCCCAATGGAATCAATCAGCTCTCCTGGCACGGGTCCCCACCACTGCCAGCAGAAGCCACCATTGCCCTTCCCTGTACCTGCCCTCATCGATCCGGTGCCGGCACATACCCAGCACCGCGTGACGCTCCCGGTGTCACCACTGCCTGACACACTGTGTGACACCTGTGGGGACACGGCTCTGCAGGCACAGCCATCGGCACTGCAGCACAACCCCGACACCAACCAACACCGGAGCCTCAGTGAGCAGAGTGCGCCCAGATCCAGCACCAGCATCACCGGAGGCTCCCCCGGCACTGCGAGCCAGGTCCATGCGGCTTTCCCCTGTCACCACACACGGGCTGAGCCCAGGGACCAGACTCTGTCCTGGCCCTTTGCTGGCAGCCCCTTGGCGAGGTCCATGTCCCACCGGTGCCACCAGCCCCAAACCAGTGCCGCATTCCGGCCGCATCCCTACCTCCCGCTGCAGCACCAGCTCCTTGGTGAAGTGCGTGGCCTCCTCGCTGAAGGGCTCCCCCTCCTGCACCAGCCCCGGCAGGTTCCTGGCTCCCCGCGGACACTCGATGCCTGCGGGAGGAAGAGGAAGGTGAGGGCACCAGGGGTTATGTGGAGGTGTCACCTCAAAGAGACGTATCAGGGACAAAAGGGGGCAGCGAAGCTCAGGTGGGACTCGAACAGCTCCTGGGATGCATGGGGACATGGGATGAGCTGGGGAAGAGCAAGCAGGGGTGTGGACATGGGGATAAGAAGCAGGAGAGCCAGCAGGGATGGGGACATGGGGATAAGAAGCAGGAGAGCCAGCAGGGATGGGGACATGGGGATAAGAAGTGGAAGAGCCAGCAGGGATGTGGACACAGGATGAGCAGGGATGGGGATAGGAGGATGAGCAAGGGACGAGCAAAGAGTGATGGGGGCATGGGGAATAGCCAGCAGGGTTAAGGACATGGGGACAAGAGGGCAAGGGGCAGCAGGGATGGGGGCATGTAAGCATGGATGGAGATGTGGGGATAAGCAGGAGATGAGCCAGCAGGGAGAGGACATGGGAATGAGCAGGGATGGGGACATGGGAACGAGCAGGGGAAAAGCCAGCAGCAATGGGGACAATGGGATGAGCAGGGATGGGGACACGGTGACAAGGGCAGAGCCATCAGACCCTGCAGCCCCCCACCCCGGGCTCCCCACCAGCACCGCGCTGCTGGCAGCGGCTCAGATTAAACCGCCACATCCTGCATTATTCATTCTATTTTCCATAATTCCTTATTAATGAAGTGCTGGGAATTGCATGGAGGCCTGCCAGCAACCAGGGACACCGCAGCCCTGCTCCCTCCTGGCATCCCTGAGGATGAGGAAACAGGAAGCAGGCCGAGAGATTAACCATGTCCCCCCCAGGGAGCTCACCCCACTGCTGTGATGTCCCCATTGTCTCTGTGTCACCAGTGATGGCAGCCCTGGGGTGCTGAGCACTTTAGGGTGACTCCAGTGCACCCATCACTGGCAACTGAAGGGGTTCTGAGGGTCCTAGGGTCCCCCCACATCAGCACCTTGGGAAGGGGCTCCCCACATCCCAGCTCTGCTCTGGCTCCCCATGGAAACCCACTGAGGTGATCTCACTGCAGCCTGGCTGGGGGTGCATAAGGAAGGCCTAAATCCAGGTGGATGCAGCCCTGTCCCCATCCCTATCACATCCCCATCCCTGTCATATCCCATCCTCATCAGTATCCCCATCCCTATTGCACCCCCAGCCCTCTCCCTCTTGCAACGCCTATTCTCATCCCTGTCCCCATCTCTACTGTATCCCTATCCCAGTTCCTATCACATCCCTATCCCTGTCACATCTTCATCCTCATCTCTGTCCCTACTGCAACCTTATTCCTGTGTCATGTCCCCATCCTCATCCCTATCCCCATCCCTGCTGTATCCCCATCTGTATTGCATCCCTATTCCTGCACCCGTCATATCCCCATCCTCATCCATGCCCCCATCCCTACTGTAACCCAATCCCCATCCTCATCACATCCTCATTCCCATCCCTCTCCCTGTTGCATCCCCATCCTCACCTCCATCTCTGTCACATCCCAACGCCCATTTCCAACCCTCCACCCAACCCATCCACCACTTCTCACCATCACCCCAACTCCCGCTGCCAAGACTGGTGCTGGTGCCAGGAAAACCCCTTTTCCCTCTTTCCCACCACGCCTCCTGTGTGCCATCTCCAAGGGAATCTGGCAGGAATCTCGCTGCCATGGCAGTGCAGGCAGCTGCCAGCCCTCACCCCTGCCTGCACCCCGTCCCTGGCTCCCTGGCATTGACATCCTCTGCCTGAAAACATGGAATGTTTCTGGGAAGGCATCAAAACGTGCTGTGGAGACAGTGAAATTCCTTAATGGGAACCCACAGCCCGGCACTGAACCATACCAGTGGCCAGAGAGCTGGGAAATTCCCCCCCAAGTGGGAACACACTGGAGCCCCCAGACCCTCCCATGGCACATCCAGGGGGATCCTGGGTACATCCTGAGAGAGGGGACCCTTGTCCATCCCAGGGGCTGTGGGATGAGCTTCGGATGCACCGCCCTGGACCTGGATCCAGCACAGAGCCAACAGCCAGTGATGAGCAGGAGGAAGGAGCGGATGCATCTCCTCCTCCTCCTGGAATGCTGGCACTGGGCGGGAATGGCTCTGGCACAGCACCACCAGCGCTGCGGCGAGGCCACAGCAGCCTTGTCTCTGGCAAGGAGCATCTCACTGCACTGGGAAGGGGGACTGGGAGCCAGCGCTGCCAAGAGCATCTTCCCTTCCTCCTCCCTCTCCTCCTCCTCCTCCTGCACGGAGCAAGCAGGGGCTGGGGGAAGGGTTATGCACCACAGCAGTGATTTATTCCCAAAGAATAGCGCAGCAGCTGCTCCAGATCCCTCGATTTGCTCCGATCTTCCCAAACCCACACAAGAGAACACTGGATTTGGGAATGGGAAACCTGAAAAGGTCGGGATGAGGATGTTCAACCCCCGGGAAGGCGCTTGGCAAAGTTACCAGCACTTCAACGGGGAGACAGAACCAAAGCCGTGGCTCTGCTGCTCTTCCTAGGAAGCTGCCATGGATTAATGTGCACAATGAGGGATGCGGCTGCCACCGCTCCCTCCTGGGATCCCGGAAGAATTCCGCTGCAAATCACTTTGGTTAAATGCTTTTTCCCGAGCGCAGAGACCCGCAGCCAGTGGGGATGGAGGAGGTGGCTGCTGGGGACCCAGAGGATGCTCCAATCCTAGCCCCATTCCTGCAGGGATGGAGGTTGACGGGTAGGGGTGAGCATCCCACAGCATTCCAGGGTATCCTGCAGCACCCCTGGGGTATCTAAGCTGCAGCATCCCAGGATAACCCACAATGTCCTGGGGCATCTTGCAGCATCACTGGGGTATCCTGCAACATTCCAGGATATCCTACAGCACCCTGGGGCATCCTACAGCATCCCTGGGGTATTTATGCTGCAGCATCCCAGGATAACCCACAATGTCCTGGGGCATCTTGCAGCATCACTGGGGTATCCTGCAGCGTTCCAGGATATCCTACAGCACCCTGGGGCATCCTACAGCATCCCTGGGATATTTATGCTGCAGCATCTCAGGATAACCCACAGCATCTTGAGGCATCCTGCAGCATCCCAGGATGTCCCACAGCATCCCTGGGGCACCCTGCAGCATCCCACTCATCCTGCAGCATCCCAGTATATTCCACAGTATCCCTGGGGCATCCTGCAGCATCCCAGGATATCCCACAACATCTCTGGGGCATCCTGCACCATCCCAAGACATTGTGCAGCATCCCAGAATACCCTATAGCATCCCTGGGACATCCCACAGCAACCCACTCATCCTGCAGCATCTCTGACGCATCTTACAGCATCACGGGGGTATCTATCCTGCAGCATCCCAGGATATCTCACAGGATCTCTGGGGCATCCTACCCCATACTGGGGTATCCTGCATCATCCCAGCA